TGGGTGTGAGGTTATTTCATTTCTTTTTATTTATAGCACGTCTTTTCCTTCGTTTCATTTAACTGCCTGTCTGTGGCATTTACTGCCTTTAAAACACATTCTGTGTGTATATAAATAGATATGATGAGCAACTCATTCTATTTATTTCCGGTGTACTCACATTTATATTTCGGCGTTGTGTCATTAAAACATTGACACTTTGCGGTTTGAAATTAAGTTGAGTTGATGACTTTAAGTTGAGTTTTTGATTGTCTGTGAAATTTCGCACCATAAGCAAGTTTTTTTATGTGTCCATGAATTGGAAAAATTAAATTCCTTGAATTATCTCGGAATTTTAAAATATTAAAAATATTAAGTTTTGAATTTATGCAGAATAAATGGAAAAAAATCCGATTGCTATGTGATAGTGCTTTATCGTAAAATGCTTACAAATGGAGGCAGCGATGCCTATTTCGATGAAAACAATTACTTTTTTATTAAACTTTCCTCTAATTCCAATTCCAGAAGTGACATTATACTTAATTTTCAGTTGGTCTTTAATTCCACTGCTTTAAATTGTGTATATACTTCTTAAGCCACTTTTTGAATGAAAATTTTTAAAACATCAAATATTCATGTTTTTTTAAGAGAATTTGTGCAACATTACATCAGTACCTCTTTAGCATATATTACTCGAGATTTCCTGAATAAAATAATATATAGATATAAATAATAATATTAAAAATAGGTATGTGGCCTCACTATCTCGCAAGATGCGCAGAAATATAGGCAACGCTTGCGTTCCTGAAATTAGTAATTCTTTTATCACTATGCCGAAATTGTGTTAAAGATTTTTTGTAAATATCAAAAACATATATTAAACTCTAAAAATGATTATGTAAATATGCATTTACACGTCTTTTTTATTTGTATGCCCTAATAACCTGCATACTAATCTTTAGTGTATTGATATCTAGTCTGAGCTTAAAATATTTTAGAAAATATGTACGTGACTTCGCTAAATCAATTCACGCTCTCAAATGTAGGCACCGATTTATAAGAATTTTTTTTTTCATATTTTTTTTTCATATGGTGTCTCAGTAAAAGTAATTCATTTTTTAAATTATTTATTAATTAAAAAGTGGACTTTATTTACTATAGTTAGAATTTTCGAATTTATTCAAATGACCACCTTTTTTATTGAAAATGTTTTACCGTTTCTCTAATCTGACTGCCAGAAGATTGGGGCAATTGCTTTTCACAGGCTTCCCTCTTGAGAGATCCGGACGGTTAAATTGCTGACAGTGAAGGTCCGAATAAAGAAATTGGTCAGAAGAGAGCCAAACTCACCAAACTTACAATAAAACCATCCTGGTATGGAAACCGTTCGCCAACTGATTGTCTTTCGATTTTCTGTTCACTGGTGTTCGTCTTTGACATGCCATCAAAAGGTACTGAGTTAAGTGATCCTTCACACTTTTCGCGTTGTCATTTTTAGTACAATACACTATCTCTCTAATGCCATCCAGCGTAATCCAATCGCCCTTACAGAATGCGTGATGCAGATCACTAAAGCAAAAAAGTGGATGACTTACTTCCCTACGTAATATTTTCTATATACTAGAAAATTAGTTTGTTCATTAATTATTTAAAGGTTATAGGTAAGAATGACGGCAGAGCTACTACTGGTTGTGGGTTAAAATAATACTCATCGATATATGTAGCCCAGCGGTCATGAAGGCATTAATTTCATACAGCATGAAGTCAGCTGTTGTCGCACGATGTAAAGAGGCGATTCAGGTACTGTCTGAAAACAGAAGAGTTTATTTTTACTGGGTGCCAGGTCAGACGGGCATTAAGGGTAGTAAGATAGTTGACTAACTGGCTATGGCATGTGTCCTTTTTCGAGTGAACTTTTCAGCAACCCAAAAAGTAATACTACTTCGTCGGGCGAGAAGTCTTTAGGCACATACTCAGGGCTGCAGAATCACGAAAATTATTTGCTAAGCTTACAAAGTTTTTGCTATTACTAGAGAGGTCGGAATGCTTTAGTCAACGCTTTTTTTCTTTTGAAAATTTTTTCGTTAAGAATTTTCATTTAATGAGTTTCTGTATAACAAAATTTTTTGTTCAGCACAATTTCTTCGAACTTTTGGGTTTCCTATTTTTTAATTTTGCTAAAAATAGTTTTGCCGTGCCAAAAATTATTTTAATATTATTTGGTATTTGGCAACGTTTCCACAAAAGATATTACTATTTATTTAATCTTCATGTTTTCTACCATATAAGGCCAAGCGCCTGACAGCTGGAAATTTGTGTATTTTTTTTTTGCATAAAATAAAATTGAAAGTGAAAACTGATTATAAAATTCACCTAAAAATTTATATACAATTTTCTAAACATTTTTTTTTTGTGCAAACGCTCAATCCCCGGCAGATTAATGTATTTTCGTAACAACATCAACGTCAATCCTTTTGTCTGTGTGACAACTGAAATTAATGACAACGCTGAAACAATTTCTCATAAAAGTTAACAAAACCGCATAGAGACTTTTGAAAATGAAGGTAAAAAGAAACAACAACAACAGAAAAAGTGCAAAGAAAACAAAAAATAAATTCGCTCACCTAATCCCTTATGGAGAAGATACCTGAAATTGTCGTACACCGGTGCGTATGAGTGACATTAATTTGACTGTTGGAAAGTAAAATTTAGACATAAACTCACCACCAAAATGACAAATGCTAGACATGTAGCAATCATTCAACGGTTAATGACGTGACATTTATTTAAATATAAATGAGATGAGTGTATATATGAGTGATACATATATTCAAATACATATATATATATTTATATGTATTTGTATGGCCGAAAAAACCGCGACAATTGCAGATGTATGTGAATGTATATGTATGTATGTAGTTTATATGAAAGCAGCTCTAAGTATGTGTACGAACATAAACGAGGGCGCTTAATACTTCACAACAACAACTTATTTAAACTACCGTTAGTATGCATTTCTGTTTTAACATACGGACAGCGGCCTGATGAGTTTCACTTGTCTCCCAATGCGTCTTAAAGTGCTCATGAAAGCATTTGAACAGGTGGCTGATTAACTACTAGTACAACGGTGTTGTAAGCGCGTCAAGCAAAAAGTAAAACAGAAAACCAAAGAACAGCTTTTATTTGCGAAAATGGGCGGGAATGAGTGTTGTAGAGTGTATAAAAGCAACGCAAATAACTACTTACTAACACACTTTTCAGGCACTTACCAACACCCACATACTAGTAGGGTAGGGTAGGTATAAAAGGGCGTTTTCTACTGCTTTTTACTTGCAACAGCATTTTATAGCAGCAGACTATGTAGACAATAATCGTAATATTGCCTACTTAGCTTACTCGAAACAAGCGTTACTACTACTCGACGGCGCTATCTAAGCATTTACTATACTTATAAATAGCTTCATACTTATGTACATATGTAGGTATGCGTATGAGCGCATTTACCTCCCACCTACAGTTGTTGTTTATTATTTTACCTCTTATTCTATTACACTTACCTTTACACGTGCTATTTTGTTTGTTTTCTCTTGCTTCCTCTTTCATTGTTATTATTATTGTTATTAGTTTGTACACCTGCATGTGTGTGTGTGTGCTCATGTATTCCTGCGTAGTTTTGCGTTTTACGCGTTATTTTCTTTGTCACCACTTATGCCATTGCAATTTTTGTGCTGCTTTTTAGCAGGAAGAAGCCTGTTACATTTTATAGTGTTGTGTAAAAGGAAACCATACTAGGAAAATTGTTATTGCACGCAATATTCACTTAGCAGCGGTACCATAAATGTAAATTTTCCTTTCATTGAGTTTTTTTTTTCGATTCAACATTATGTGCGTGTTTTGCGAAAACCACCGCCATTCCATAGGAGATATGTGTGTAGAGTGAATTTCTTTTGTCTTTGTTTCTGCATTTCATAATGAAGTTATGTGGAAAAACTACTCTAATATTTTTCTATGCGCAACATTTCCGACTTTATGGGCAATAGAAAAATACCTCGCGTAGCTCTCCAAAATTATAGTTAGAAAATTGTGCCATAATTTATAAAGAATTTATACCTTTCATGATCATAAAATGATACATCAACTTTGGCACGATTTATAAGAAAGTCAGAAGGAGAAGAATGTGGTCCATCAAGATTTACACAGATGTAATCAGAAGAGCGAGCAGAGTTCATTTGATTTAGCCATGTTTGTCGGTCCCTCAGCCTCCCTGTTCGCATGCAAAGTTGTGCCTCAATTTTTCAGAAATTTCCACGAAACTTGGTACACAGTTGTGTTAGTTCAATTAAGCGATCATATAACTGAACCAGCTTGGCAGCGGTAGTCGAGTGGTTAGCATTGCGTACTGCCATTCGGAAGGCTCGAGTTGAAATCTCGGTGTCGTCCTAACATCAAAAGTTATAGAAAATTAACTTAAAATAAAAAATTTAGTTTAATTTTTTAATTGCGGTCGCTCTTCGGCAGGGTACATCCATCCCTCCTAGCCTATTTCTGACGTGAAAAAAGTCTCATCATAAAAAACTATCAGCCCTGCGGATGCGGCTTACTATAAACTAAAGATCAGTCCAATTGTTGGAAAACCATCAAGACATAAAATCACAAATTGGAGGAGGAGCTCGGCCGAAAAATCGCTTCAGCGGTTACAAAGCGCTTATAAAATATAAATATATATATATATGTATATAACATTGTGGCTTTGTAGTTATTTAAAAAAAAAATTGACAAAATTAAAGTTTTTTTATTATATAATTAAATAATTTAATATTTTTAAATCAAAAAAAAATTATTTTAATTCTTGATTTTTGCAATTTCGATGAAATTATTGCTTCTCAAATATTTAAATTTTTCTAATGAAAAATTAATTAATTAATATTCAATTGCTTAAATGGCAATTATTTCTAAAAGTTCACCACGAATATGGCCTCAAATAAAAAAAATTCACTATTTTTTCTCTTCTCTTCCAGCAAATCGTCAACTAATTTCCGCTGAACAATGCATTCGAATGCAGGAGAGCAGTGAGATTTTGTAACAACAACGGCAACAACAAGCATATTAATTATAATTATTCATTATTTTTTACCTCAACTTTGCTACGAAAAATCCCGCACGCATGTGGCAACAAAGTGCAACGCAACAACACCAACAACACACTGTTTTAAGTAATAGAATATTTCGAATAACAACAACAAGTATATCAAAAGTGTCAAAAAATTGCCAAAAACGGAATTGATAAACGCAAAAGCCAATAACAACAACCAACCTTTATTCCCACTTTACTCCCTCCCCCTCCCCCTTGAACGGAAAAGGCACGTACGACATTCGTGTCAACGGCAACTATGCATTTGACACATAACAGCAACAACAACAACAACAGCAGCAGCAACACCGATGATGAATGTGCCAGTTCAATATCATCAGTAAAGGCGACGGCGACAACGGCGTCGACCACAGCAGCACTTGCAAATATTTGCCACACACGTTGCAGTGAAAGGCAGGGAAATGAGCAACAACAACAACGACCACAAAACCTTTTGCGACCAGGCGTTGGTGTGAGTGGGCACAGCAAGCTTAGTAGCCACAGCCCAGTGGGGGCAGAAAATGTTGCACAGCAACAACAACAAAAATGGTGTCACCGCCCACGGGTGTCAGCAGCAACACTTGCACAGCGGGCAACGAAAACAACAACAGCAGCAATAGCGCGTATAGCAAGCGGCAAGCGTATGTTGCATGCTCATAGCAACAATAAACTGTCAACTTTTCTACAAAGTAGCAATTTTTTTACATACGCCTTTGTTGTTGTCATATTTTTAAGCAGCTACAGTGTGACAGGTGTGAGTGCAAGCGAAAATGGTGGTGGCGTCAATGATGCGTTTAGTAACACCGCTGTGTCAACCATTGATCAAATTGTAAATACGAGTCTCAGCAACAACAATAACAACAGTGGCAACAGTGACAACAGCGGGATTGTTAAAGATGCAACTAACAGTAATTATCGTGATACGCAAAAGCACCGCACAACGAACGCCTATCAATATGATGTAATTAACAACAATAACGGTAATAATATTGATAGTAATAAAAACGGCAATAACAACAAAAACAACAACAACAACCAGAAGGGCACAGCTGTCGACATCGTACTAAGTGATTATAGTGAAGCCTTCGCAAGCCTGGTAGCCGCGGGTCCACTAAATGACACAGACAACAACAACAACAAAGGCAGTAGTAGTAGCAGCAGCGTGTATAGTATAGCTACTGGGCATGATAGTGAGTTTGCATCCAACATTAGTGATAGCATTAAAAGAAATTTTACGGCCACTCCCGTTGGCGATGACGATGTTGCGCCGCCGTTCGATTTGCACGATGAGCTATTGGACAGTCTGCGTGGCACGCATAGTTTGCCACAGCAACCAATGTATACGAACGACTTTGCGGTACACATACCAGCTGGCGGACAAATTGCCAATATAATTGCCGACAAATATGGATTCATTAATAGAGGACAGGTAAGTGAGTTGAGCGCACGGCTGTGTGATTCTGATATGACTGTGAGTGAGTGTGTGTTACTGGGCAAATGTTTTGAAAGCCCATTTTGATAGATTTCCAGCAAGGGCTTTAGAAAAAATTATCTTTGAGGGTAATCGGCAGTAAATAAAAATTAATTGTACATACTCAAATTATTGATTTGGTAAAACTCTTCGCCCATATGAGTTTGAAAAACAATATCTCTTTCAAGAAATTTATTTAGTATTTTTTTTTAATAAAAAAAGAGCAAAAGAAGATCTTCTTGATAATATAATAAATGAATTTTAGGTATAAATATTTCACAAATAAATTCATTGCATAAATATTTTTTTTATTATATAATGTTTTCCGTGTCATAAAGTTAAATAAATAATTAAATTAGTAGAACTTTGGAAATTTTTTTAGTTTCTTCGTAATTTTATGAACTTTTCTTTAGTAGTTTGCAAAATGAAAAAAATTTAAATATTTAATTTCTATTTATTAAGAAGCAATCAAAAATGCTTAAAAAGCAAATGTGAATTGTTGTTTGCGATAAATAGGCATTTTGCATATGAACATTTCTTAGAGAAAGTTTTTATTGCTTGAAATTCTAAAAATAAGAAAATATAATAATAATATTATTATGACCGCCTTATTCGCTGAATATGTCACCCTGTGATGAGGGTACTCGCGGACATCCCAGTCGAAGGACTCCAGAAATGTTACGAAGCATGGAAAACTCGCTGGAATCATTATATACGAGGAGCTGCCCAAGGGACTATTTTAAAGGGGTTAGCAGAGTGGTAGAATAATTTTGAAACATGCGTTTCTTATGAAATCAGTCTCATTACATAACTGTAACACCTTGTATAAGAACGTAGGCAACAATTTGGATGAGAATTTTTGACTACTTAAAAAAGGCCAAGCAATTATTAAGCAATTTAAATTGAATATTTTCCAAATAAGAAAGATAAGTTTTTCTTTTTTTTTCGAATTATCTAAAATGGAAAAATGGAAAAAATGGAATTATTAAAAAAATTTTGTAAAATCACTCTCTATCTGCATATCACAATCTTTTTAATTTTTTTTATTTTTTTTTTACACTGCTGAAATCTGGCAGCGGGTGATGAATTTTTAATATGTCACTTTAATTTTTTTCTGGAATTAATTGTATTTTTGAATATGAATATATTTTCCAGATTTCAAAAATTTAAATTCTATACCAAGATTTAATACAAATACTTTTAAAACTTATTTTCGGCACGATAGCTTTGAGGAAAAACTTTTTAAACTTTGTTAATGATTTTTTATTAATTTAATATATTTTCAAATTGGAAAATTAAATAATGAAATTTTATAGAGAAACAAATTTTAAAGAAAATATAATCTTTTGCGGCGTTTAGCAAATTAATTTCATATTTAATTTATTATTTTTTAGTTCCACTATTTTATTTTATATGTTCAAAATTTTTCATTTCATCTTTAATATATTTGTACATTTGATATGTTGCTTTCAAACAGAGTACTCTTATAAACTCTACCAAAAGTTCAATATTCCCCTTGATAAATAATACTTTGAAGTCTTTCGAAAAACATAAACAAATATTTGCAGCCAAAACCAAGCCCTTATTTAATTTATTTGTGAGATTTTTTTATTTACATATATACGTAAACTATTAATTTAAATATTGTATGATTCATTACGAATATACAAATAAACAAAAAAAAAATTGTTTGATATAAAAACCAGTGAAAAAGTAGAAAAATATTTTCAAAGCACTCAATGTCTAGATATTATTTATTTAACAAAAAAAATGCAAATAATTAGAAATCTTCCTTAGAGTCTAAAGTTTGCATATAAAATTACATACATTTATAAATAAGCGTACATATAATATGTTCTATACATAATTAGTTTTTTCTCACTCCACCCAGATGGACTAGAAATTAAATATTATTTATTGTTGCAATGTAAATAATAATTTTATAGCAAAGTCATGTGCGAAAAAGAAAGCAAAAATTTACAAGCATGAAAGTAGAAGGGCCGAGATAAACATTCGGAAGCTAATTTGATATTACTGTTGAAAGATATACGTAAATATACTAGTATATATGTGGGCGTGTTTCTCAAAACTACGTCATACATATAAAACATTATTTATAAATTTTCCGTTTGCCAGTGAGTGTGTGAATGCCTAAATAAACTGTTAATTTGGCTACTCTGTAGATTTACGCACACACGTACACGCAAAATATTTATGCTTTAACATATGTACATAAGAACAATAGCATACTCATTTGGATAAATGAAATAAATAATATTTCATAAGGCGAACAAAAGAAGCTTATTTGGTACGAAAATTTTACTTCCGTACATATATGTATGTATAGTATATATACAATCCTCTTAATTAACATAGCTTTTGTTAAAGCAAATTTTCACTTTATTCTCCCATTGCTCCAATTTGTTGCTGATTATTTAATTGAAGGGGAGCTTGTTTGGCAATAGAATATATTTTGGCGATCTGACCGTAATTTATGGGCTACATATTAAATGTAGATATGTTTTGGGCAAATGCTTATATAAGTTTGAGAAAACTAATTATGAAAAAAAATATTTGTAAAATATTTGTGTCAATATATTTCACAGTACTCAGATACAACAAGAAAAACTTCATTTGTATATGTAAATATGAGCAAGTGTGTGTAAACTGCTCAGTTAGGATTTATTTTAGCACATTTTGAGCTAAAATAAATATAGCTTTTTTATAAAAAAAAAAAACATATAATCATAAAATGAAATTTACAATTTTTTGATGATATATTCAGCATTTTGAAAAGACTAAAGACTCATTTTTTGAAAAATAAAATATTTACTACAAAATAAATGTATACTAAAAAAACCATATTGCCCGGTTAACTAAAAATTATTATGCGGCTTGATTATGAATAAGTAAATAACATTTCTTTTTTTTTACTAAATATATATTTTTAGTATAAACAATATTTTTACTATAATTTCTGATAAATTAAGTTATTTATTTTTAAATATTTTGTTTTGTTTTTATAAGCCAAAAAACATTAAATAGTTATTAATAGATTTATAAAACATTCATATTTGACATGTACATATATAAGTATTTGTCAATATCCAATTTGTTCGTCACATTCTTTTTACAAAATTTTTTTTACATATTTATACAACAAACTCGTTTATCTTCACATACAAATATTTATTTATTTTATACTTCCTGCGCACTTAAATCACACTCCTTCCTGCCAGGCTGCCTGCCTGCCTGTCATAAATTCGATATTCTACAAGTAATGACTCTCTAGTGAGCTATGTGTCTTGCACTAACAGCAACAAATAAATCAATTTTGAATTTATGTTTCCGCAAATCAAAAAACAAATGAGCGTACACATATATGGAACTGTTTTCATCTAAGACAATTCGTTATAATAAATACAATTTTACCTTATTTTTATATTTATATTTTCAGTGCAATGAAAATTCGTAGAAATTAAGGAAAGAAGTAAAAAATATTTTTAAATATAACAACTTGAATTTTTTTTTAAGCTAATATCACATTAAACATATTTTATAAAATAAATATTCAAGATATTGAGCAAAAATTAGAATGAAAATACAAAAATATGCCGATATTAATTTTGTTTTGATTTTCTTAAAAAAATTGATAATAAAATTTATATTTTCTTGCAAAAAATTGATTGCTACTTAACAATTTTCTTGAAACAAAAAGTTTCGAAAAAGATTCCGATTTTTTTAAATTATCTTGCCAAATAAATTATAAAATTTTAAACAGTAAGGGAAAAACAAAGCTTTTTTTCCATTTTTTTTTTAATGTGCAAATAATTAAATAATATTTCTATAAACATTTTTATAGACAAAATTGAGAAAAAAAATTCTAAAAGAAGAATAAAATTAATCAAAGTAGATACTAATTTTTTATTACGTGAAATTAAAGATCTTACTTATTTTTTTTTTTTTAATAAAAAAATTTATCATTTCATGCCTGTAGAATTGCTAAGCTTCCTTTTAATTTCATAAAAGTAATGTATGTATGTAAATACTTGAAATGCTTGCCCACCAATACGCTTCACCGATGCATGTTAACCACTTTTCTTAACCACAAATTTGCATATTATGTAAATATTACTTGCATTTGACTTGTCTTTAATCTGGCAAACTTTAATTAACGAATGTTGCATACATTTAGGCAACTACATCATGTGTCAGGCTTTGGAAATTTTGTAAATTTGTTATTATTCATTTTATGCACTTATGCTTTTTCACACATTTTGCACAAATTTCAATTAAAATTTATTCAGACCATAACTAAACAGTAAATTCACAAAATACGCAACAAATGCTATAAATAAGCTGCTTTTTGTGAAAATTCGAAATAAACGTATTTTGTTATTGACCACATTATGCGCATTGTTATTGTTGGCATTTCACATGTTTCTCTGCCTAATTTACATTATATGCAAATTTGTTACATTACTTATAACTACAAATTTTGTGCTTTTCAACATAAACGTATCAACAACTGACTGGCGTGCTTGCAAGCCACTGCATTTCCGGCACAAATAACTGTGGGTTTTGTTATAACAGTTGTTAATAATTTCAATTTAATTGGGTTTGATGAGTAAAAAGCTGCGCCGGGGCAATGGAGCAAGTGAATTATGAAACCAATAATATAAATTAATCTCAATTTAACTAATATATCTTTTTTTATTTTATTTAACTTCGTTTGAACTCTATTTTTTTAAGTCTCATTTCATTTAATTACGTTTTGTTTAAATTTTATCATTTTTTTTTAAATTTATTTTAATATTTTTTTTGCGCTATTTCATACTAAATATTTTTTTTATTTAAAACTATATTATTTAATATTTAGTTTTTTTTTAATTTTTTATGTTTAATTTTTTCTTAGCATTATTTTTTTAATTGTTGTATCTTTTCTTTGGCTTCGTTTAAGTTGCATTACAGTTTCTTTTACTTAAATATTAGGAAATTAAGTTTATAGTATTATTATTGAGGAGTGCATAAAATCGTGCCCGATTCCGCTGGATGTCGTTCCAATCGTTTGAGACTGGCGCACGTGAAAGAAATATATACATATTATATATCGTTGGAAAGGTGACAGTCCGAACTGTAAATCAAGCATAAAATAATTTCATTTTGATTTGAGTTGCTTAGTGAAAAGACGCATGGAAGATGGACAACGAAAAAGATCATATGCGTCATATTATGTTATACGAATTCCGCAAAGAAAAAAAAGTATTCGCTGCAACTAAAGATATTCACGAAGTTTATTTGGACCGTGCGTTCTGGAGATTTTAACCTCGAAGATCAACCTCGCAGTGGACGGCCTTCTGAGTTTGATGACGATGTTCTAAGGACTTTAGTTGCGAATAACTCACGTATTTCGACGGAAGAGGTTGCCAGTGAATTGAACGTCAACAAATCAACTGCGTTTCGTCGTTTAAAAAAGGTTGGGTACACTTTGAAGCTCTACACATGGGTGCCACATCAGTTGAGTGAAAAAAACAAAGTGGAGCGTATGTCAACTGCAATTTCTTTGCTTCGACGGATCAAAAACGAACCTTTTTTGGATCGGATCAAACGACTGGTGATGAAAAATGGATCCTGTACAACAATGTTCAACGCAAATGAACATGGAAACAGGCGCACGAAGGGCGGAACCGATGTCGAAAGGTGGATTGCATTCGATGAAGGTACTGCTGTGCATTTGGTGGGATATCCGAGGCGTGATCTATTTTGAGCTCTTGCCAACAAGTATTGTCAGCAATTGGTCGAATTGAAGAAAGCAATTGATGAAAAACGTCCGATTTCGGCCAATCGCAAAGGAGTTCTTTTCCATCATGACAACGCCAGGCCACATGTTGCAAAACCGACCCTGGCCAAACTGAAGGAGATGAATTGGGAAATCATGCCGCTTCCCCCATATTCACCCGACATTGCACCTTCTGATTATCATTTGTTTCGATCGCTGCAAAACAATTTGAATGGAAAAAAATTTAAAAATGTGGAAGACGTCAAAAACCACCTTGACACCTTTTTCAACGAGAAACCGCGCGATTTCTATGAATCAGGCATCCGTGAATTGGTTGAACGTTGGGAGTGGATTGCCGAACATGATGGCGAATACATAATTGATTAATAAAAGCGCTTTCTTCAAAAAATTTCAATTTTAGTTAGCACTTGAAATCGGGCACGAACTTATGCACTCATCCAATATTAAATATAAATGGTTTAAAGAAATGATGCTTTTCATGTACATACAATTCTTATCTGGTTTTTATAACTCGATTTTATTTTTTTTATTTTATCTCATTTTATTTTGTTATAGTTGATTTTGCTTTTCTTCTATTATATATTATTTTGTTATATAATTTTTTCCATTATTGTTATTTTATTTAAATTCATATTATTTTGTTTTTTTTTTTTAATTTTTAATTTTATTTTATTTTAATTTTTTTTGTTCGATTTTATTTTTTACTTTAATAAAATTTGGTTTGTTTTATTTAATATTTTAAATAAATGTGTTTTAGGATATATCATTTTAAATTAATTTATATTATTTTTAATTTCATTTTTTTTTTGTAATCTTATATGGTCTTTTTTATATTCATTTTTATTTACTTTTATTATTTTTTTAAACTTATACGTACATATATATATATATATATATATATATATATTAAATTATATATATTTAAGTCAATAAGTAGCTCAATATTATATATCGATCAAAAATATGCTTATTCATCATCACTCATGCTTTGCATAAATGAATTTTCATTCTACCCTCTTCTTAAACTCACATTTATATATGTATACATATAAGAGAATGAAGATGTACATATGTGCGTTTCTTGAACACTTCCTTACCGTATTTACCGTAAAATTTGCACACACGTTCCATGCCCGCATGTCAGGAGAATTTCCAAATTATTTGCTATTGAAAATTGCATCACGTTGAACAAACGCAAAGAAAATGCAATGCATAGATACTGTAAATTGGCTGTGACAGAGTGCAGGCGACACAAATACATAGTGACGCATGTGTGTGCACCCGAGTATGTGCTCTACTCTATGAGCATTATCAATAGACACCAAATATTTGTACGCGAGTTTTTGATTGCGGTATTTGAAGTATTCCAGAGCAATGCACAAATGCTTTGCTCGCTGTTTTAGTGTAAATAAAGGGTGTGGTTTTTGTAAAAGCAGGAAAAGTAAACAAATACTTTAGTAGGAGGAAGAAGAGTCTGTAACAGAAAAGTATATGAAAATTAGTGAGGAAATATAAATTGAATAATATTAAACATGTTAAAACAAAATAAAATAAAATAAAATAAAATAAAATAAAATAAAATAAAATAAAATAAAATAAAATAAAATAAAATAAAATAAAATAAAATTAAATAATATAAAATATAATAAAATAAAATGAAATAAAGTAAAATAAAATATAACTAATAAATTAAAATCAGGGTTTTTAAATATTTTTAAACGTTTGATCAATATTTTTTTCGGCTTTGTCTTTTATATAAGTTTTTCAAAATAATTTCCTACTAGTATTTCCATAATTTCACTCGACTTCTCACAACACATCTGACAATAACCACTAAAGAGCACAAAATAAACTCAACTGTTCGCAACATACATCGATATTACCACATAAATATTATTTCATTTTAGTTTGGAGAATTTCTACATTGTCCATACTTCCTTACCGCTTTTGCTCCGAGTATTTGCCAATCAAAATGCTACTTCAGGCATAACACTGGCCACCGCATACTATTGGGATTTCCCAAAGCATATCTAATAGTGTACAAATAAACTTAAAAAGCAATAACTGAATACACACATACACACTGCGGTTTAAGAACATGACCACCTAAATATACATACCTACATATACACGAAAGTATACATATATATGTTCATACACATTTATTATATACTTGAATTCAGGGACACAAGTTTTGTAAAAATTTTAAGTTAGCCGTTCTTCTATATAACGGTAAGTAAAAGTAATAAACATCTTGTTAGTGCAAAACATTTCTCAATGGTACGTTCAGATTTCGATTTTCTGATTTTTGATTTCTGATTTAGTTTTTCTTCTTCTTCTTTTTCCTACTCCTCCCCTTCTTCTTAAACATTGGTTGGAAAGTTTTCATTTAACGCCCATGGGTCTGCAAGTGATTTTTATATAACATATACTGGTATGTACATGCCATTAGCAATTTGTTTGGTTTTGTGTAGTGCGAAGTGAGAGCGACCACATGGCGTATGAGTGACTGAAATTGGCTGTGAGTGCAAGGGATTTAAAAGTGTTGTGCTGTTGATGTGGCTGCAGCTCTGAACTCAAAATGCTGCAGGATCGAAAAGTATGTTGGAAGATTGGTAGTGATTTGGAGTACTTTTTGTGTTTTTTTTTTTTAATTTTTGTTGTTTGTATTTTATGTATGTGATGAAAGGCTTGAATATAATAATAAAAAACAATATTTTCTATCGCTTTAAAAATGTATATTATTGTCAAAAACAATTTTAGCTAAGGTTTCTGAAATATAATTAGTTACTAAATTCAATGTTATATATTATCATTACAGGTTGGCGCCCTTAAAGACTATTATCTTTTTCATCATCGAAACGTCGCCAAACGTTCATTGCGTTTGAGTAACGAACACCATAGCGCCTTAAATTCTGAACCAGAGGTGAGTGCTATGAGCTTTGAAAAAACGTACATAATTGTTAATTGTAATATACATCATAAATACATTATATTGTTTATTTATATTACAAAAATTCATTGATTTTAACTTAACTACAAAGTTATGTCCTCTATTTCCCTAAAACTCTACAGGTCCGATGGATGCAACAGCAACATGAAAAGTTGCGTAAGAAACGTGATGGTTCCTATACCACCTTACCCGGCTATAGTCCCTATGATGTGATAAGACCAGGTGCTGGTTTCATTGGTGCACCTGGTTCCCGCCTTACATATCATCCAACAGCGTCGGCGCGTAGTAGTTCACCATTGCTTTCACGTGCATCACGCATTCAGTATCGCGCTGTCACATCACACAATATATTTCCCGATCCTCTATTCAAGGAACAGTGGTATTTGGTGAGTGATGTATGTAAGAAGTTTGATTTTTTTATTTAAAGTTCATTAATAACCACCTTGGCGGGGTATCCTTGGTAAGGTCATGGTTTCTCAGTATTTGGTAATATAAATTTGCTGTTGCCGTATTTTGGTTAGTATGGTAAGGAATTGCTAAATGTATTATATTAATTTAATAAAATATTTAATTTTGCTTAACCTAAAATTTGGGATTTAAAAATGACCATATTTCGACACACAAAAAATATAAAAAATAAAACTAGCGCCAATTGTCAATTTGTATACGTTATAACTAATGCTGTAAGAACTTCCGCTGCAATTGTTTACAATATTTTATTATTTTACTTGATTATGTTGTTATTTTATATCGTTTTATTTTAATATAGTTAATTTTAATAGCTTTTATTTTATTTCATTTTTTTCTTTATTGAATTTTTTTATTTTGTTCGTTTGGTTTAATATCGTTTTTTTTTTCAATTTTTTTGAGTTTATTTCATTTTACTTTGTTTCGTTTAATAAAGTTTAAAGCTCTATTTTATTTTTTTTTAATTTAACTTTTATTTTATTTTCAAATATCTGTTTTATTCTTATGTATTCTATTTTATTTGATTTGATTTTTTCTTACTTTATATTTTTTTATTATATTTAATTGTATTTTTTTAATTTAATTTTATTTAATTAACGTTTACTTTATTTTATCTTTTTTTATTTTATTTAATTTTAATCAATTTTATCTTATCATATTTTACATTATTTAATTTTATTATTTTAAATTACCTTTTAATTTATTTTATTATTATTTTAATTATTTTAGGTACTTCATTTTTTTAGTTCATTTTGTTTCACTTTAAGTGTTAATAAAGATCGTTTGCATTTGTTGTTGACGCATTATTCGTGCAAGTCCTATATACCCACTCGTCACCCTAAGACTAGAGATGGTCATTCGAAACTTTTCTCGCATTCGTTAGAATTATTGGATTTTCGATTTGACAATGCCACTAAAGCAACAACAAATGTCAAGCAAAGCTAAACTAACTTAGCTATTTTACTCATAAAACATACACGTACACAAAAAGTTTGTAGTAAAGGAACTGAAAGTCTTGCCAGGAATAAGAAACAAATCAGAAGATTTTGTTAAGAACGAAAAAGAGATAAAATAAAAAAACATAAATAAGGAATGCAGCAAATGCAATTCCTCAAACATGAGCGACGCGATGATACGCTTGGCCAAGTTTTAGTTCTACACCAAAAAGGTAAAGCAACGACACAATGGCCGCAATACAAATACAGCAACAGCAAAAGCAAATACAACTAAGTGGATGATGGAAACACAGCAAGCAATGTGACAAAAGCGGACGGCGACGAAGAAAGCCAACTAAAGGTAGTGTGCAAAGCATCCCCAAAGCCAACAACAACCAGCTAACAAATTCACAATGACGCTACCGAACAATAAGACCTTCGCTTTGTTGTAAGGATCTTGTCGTATTATCCTTACTGTCATGCGCTGGCAAAAGTTTTCACAGTGGGAGCACGAAAGAATACAAGAGACAAAAAAAATGTGGTAAAGAGAAAGATATAAATATGTAAGTACTTAGTGAAAAACGCTTCCTACTTTTAGTTATGCGGTTACCCACAGCAAATGGCAAGCTCTCCCGCAAGCATTTTTCTTTGTTATGATTTATTTGCTAAAGCAGCAAAAATTTGTGGAAAAATAATGGCGGCGGATTTGCTGAGTAGAAATAGAAGTAAGAAAACAAAGATATAGAAACAATGAAAATTTATTCAGGGCCGTTTATTAAAACAAAAATGGCTCTTTAAATAGAAAACGTAGTAAAATATCAACGATGTATAATTTAAACGCATGCCTGTTTGCTTTTCAGCAAAGTAGTATTATTAGAAATGGCTTGCAATAGATACACATATTATTGTCAACGGCGTGTCCTTCAGGTGATGTGAAGCGCCAAATTAAAAAATGCCACTACCTTACTGCACGAAACCTTCAATATAACATAACGAATGTCTTTATGGTAAAACCATATCATATATAATCAAAAAAGCCTTAAACTTAACTGAATCTAGATTATCTTTTTTTTTTAAATCAGGTGCTAAAATTTCCGAAATAACTGAATAAAACTTTATCTTGACGATATGCTAGTTGGCCTATTTCTGGAGTTCGAAGCATATATAGAATGAACAATGGAAAGCATATGTTTTTAAAGGAAATGAGTAGAAAAAAATGCTCATTATAATAAATTTGTTATTATTTAATTATTCTACTTGTTATTTTTTTAATGAATATCACTTTTATTTGATTAAATTATATTCAAATTAACTTCAATTTTTTTCCTTATTTTATTTTACTTTATTCATTTTTTTTTTGTTAAGTAATTTTATTTCATTTTATTTTATTTTATTAGATTTGATTTTATTTTATTTTATTTTATTTTATTTTATATTATTTTATTTAATTTATTTTATTTTAATTTATTTGATTTTATTTTTTTATTTCATTTCTCTAAGTTCTCATTTCTTTAGTTTATTTTATTTCTTATTAATGAGATTTAGTTTATATATTTTTCCTGATTTGTTGTATGTTATTGTTATTTGGGTTAATTTAATTTTGTTTTTCTATTTTTTATTGGCGTTAACTTTTATTCTTGATAACACTAATAACGAGATATTTGTAAGTGAAGTTGGTTTGGTCCCTAACAAATGCTTCAAAGCTTATTTTAGGATTTTTGTAAAAAATATTGTAAATATATCTTTGTTTTAAATAAAAATTTTATAAAAATACAATGGTTTTAAATATATTTTTACTAGCATATAATGTGTGTTGTGTATTTTTCTCTTCTCTTTCATATCTCGACCAATTTACATTTATATATGCGCCGCTGTCTTGAATATACCCCGTAATAAATAAACCGTTGTAACGAAAACTTCGTGGGAAATACAAAAAAAAAAAAAACAAATGTAAATATTTCTCCACAATAACAACATCAATCACCGTGCGTCTACGCCAACAAATAGAATGGTGGCGCCAAAGATGGTCTTGATATGAATATCGGTCCTGCCTGGCAGAAAGGTTACACTGGCAAAGGCGTTGTCGTTTCCATACTCGACGATGGCATACAAACGAATCATCCTGACCTTGCGCAAAACTATGTAAGTAACTTGCACACATCATCATCATACATATATGAGAGGTATATAAATAGCTAACAACTATTATAAAGTAAGCATTTAGATAATTCAAACAATTTCTGAATATCCAATTGAGGGTGTGTGCTTATGTATTTATATAAACAAATTTTACTATGAGCTTTTTGAATATTTATATATATATATATATATATATGTATGTGGAAAAGCGAAAAGCCTAAAACTTTTCCAAGATGTACTTGTAATTGGAAGACAATAATTGAAAAAGTCTGACAACTAAGTTCGCTGTGGAATCTAATTCAAAAAGAGATTTGTTTGCAATGAAGCGGAAAATGGCTGCGTTGAGTATTTATCGCAGTATTTTGTTCGGTGCTTCAGGGCGTATGAGCAACTTTTGCTATTAATGCTTTTAAAAGCTTAACTACTTTTATATTTCAATGGCTTTCAGTTTAGAATTTTATTTTCGAATAATTTTATGTTTACTTTAAACTTACAGCACACAGCGCAGCTGAGAGGTTGTATCGGTACTCAGGAGAGCTCAGCCTTTCGCTTGGATTTACAGCTCTGTGTAGCAGAGCGCTTTTGGTCTAAATGGCTATTTATTTACCTCAAACCTCAGTTTGTAGGCATAATAATAATTTTATTTGTTAAATTGCTATATTAAAATGTTATTTTATTTCTTATTTCGGCCATTCAGAACGCTACTTAACTTTAGCTCATATTTTTATGATGTTGTTGCGTTTTAATGTAAAAATTATGAATTGACACTCTTTCTTATTTCTTTCAAAGTAATTTGCTTCTCATTGGTCTAGGATAATATTTTGAATGCTATAAGTGTATGCTGGTGGATCTTACTTTTATAGACATTATTTATGGGTGTTTAATGAGGTTTCTTTAATATTTTTATATACAAATATCTCCGCCCGGAAGTTTTCAACTCTATTGCTAAAAAAATTTGATTATTGCCCAACTTACCGTCAGTGCTTCACGACACTGGCTATTTGTTTCGATGTGCAGTTTGGTGAAAACTTTCTGCTCCACTGAAAGTGTGAGAAGGTTAGAAGTTACCATTATTTAAGATATCACATGTGTAATGCTAAATACTTTCATTGAACTTTGTACTACGTCGACCACTTTCACGGCTGATGGATAGCGATCTGGTTATTTCAAGGCAAAGTGCTATTAAAGTAGCACCTTGCTGGGGTTAAATCGGCGAGAGTATGAAAACCATTGAGTGGATAAAAATCTTGATTAAAGTCGGCACAAAGAACTAGCAGTCGCTGGCGAAGTCGCTATTGTGTAGCCTCTAGTACTAGTTGGCATGGCTTGGTTTAAAACTTGTGTGCTGTATTATGAAACAAGCAGGTGTCTATCTGTGTCGTGTCATTTTTAAAGCTTCCATATATTTCTGACTATTTTTAGGCTTATTGCGTAGGGTTATGGTTTTAAGGAAGTTTTACCCGCTGACTTAAACGGTGTTAGGTCACAGAAAGCGTAATAGTCTTTACCGGATAAGGCCAGCTCAACTGCAGCGCGTAGAAGTGGCCAATGCAAGAGTCGCTATGTTTTGTTATACTAACTTTTGGCAATAGGGTCGGGTTCTTACTTAAAATTTCCTTTTGAAAGATTTCTATTTATAGCACTTAGCAAATTAGCTGCATATACCCCAAGGCTCGGAGCAGTTCTGCAATTAAAAATCTCTTGTGCATTGCTCATATCTCTGCAGCCCAACTCCTTCGTCCATTATCTGCCCATTTCATGGTAATCAACTTAGCCAGTTCGCATACTTTGTTCCATTTTTCTTTCTTGTACTAAGCTATTTCTTTTTTGCAGGCTTTAGCCTTGCCTTAATTATTACTTTTTTCTGATATTTTTTTTTTAATTAGAAATATCGTGTTTCAAGGCTTGTTGTCTCTTGTTGCTTTTGCTGTAGCGGTTTGAAATAAGCTAGTTATTGTCTTTGTGGTCATCTTATGTGAGACCCAAGCTATAAACTCTTTGAGCGGGCTCCGAGCGTAGAAAGAGCGGTGCAAGATAATTTAGGTTTTGGGGGCACGCAGTGACCTGATCAGAATAATTGGGCGACTCATTGCATGAATTTCATGTTTTGCCTAGTTCGAGGATTGCTTTGCGCTAATATTACTCTAGTTTAAGGGACAGGTAAGGCACCTCTTATGCTAGAGTGAGTTGGAGTCTGATAAATGAGGAACCATGAATGAAACGCTTATTAGTCACTAGTGCTCTCCGGTTTCCGGCTTACTTTAGCTAATTCCAGCTAGGTTTCGCAGAACGTTTCCAGTAGTTCTCAAAGCCCACTACATGTGGTAGGCCGTACTTAAACTTACTGTTGGCTGTAGTGACGAGGGGTCAAAAATCAGCCTATGTATTTCGAGAAAAGTAGAGCCTGACCGAGGAACTTACTCGCGCAGATGTCATGTCTGTACAGTGACAGAGGCAATTTTCAATAGGAATAGCTGCAAATAATTATCAAAGTGGTAGCCCATTATTTGCTCGTGAAGCCCTAATTACTATTTCAGCTATTATATTAATGGAGAAATGGTCTACACAGATAAGATGTTTTGGATCTTTCGCATTAAACTTTGACCATAGCTCTCTGGTCTTCACCCATTCACCCATCTTGGGTCTGCTCCTTTGGCAAAGTACAGTTTTAGCATTTACTTTGCTACTGACAAATGTACACCTGCATCGTGTGCATGTTTTATTATGGATATAAAAGTTTTTTTCTTTCGCTCGTTCTTTATCTAGGTTATTGGGTTGTCACTGTGTCCAGGTACCCAGGCCACGGCAGTGTTGCTTTCAATCAAAAGTTTATTCAAATTGCTTCTAACTTTTACTGTTGCCTTCTAGATATCTTATGGCAGCTTGATTGTCGGAATATATTTGTATAATATATTGTACTGCTGCCGTGGGTTTGACCAACCACTCTGATATTGCTTACCTAATAATATTTTTAGGGAAAAATCCACGCTCCATGGTGACCTCGTATAATTATGGGAAGTTTCGTACAAGCCATAAAAAATCATTAATCATCTCTCGCTAGCGCAGGCCATTCATTTAAGAAAATCTAAGGTTCTACGAACCCGACGGATCATAAACCTTACCAAATAGTTGAGGATCGAGAGACTTTTCAGTAACAAATCTTGGGTTTTCTGAGCCCCAGATGCGATATTTTTGCTATTGACGTAGCCATTGAAGTAGAAATAGACCAAATCAGTTAAAAAAAATTTTCTATGAAATTTTTTAGTGAAATTTAATATTTTCAATTCGTTGGTTGAGGAGTGTGTATCCTTCCAGCTTCATTCAGGCTTAGTTTTTGGTTTTGAAATGTCATAAAATGATTGCTTCCGAAGTAACATCTACTGGTAAACAACACTTTTTTTGAAAACCCTTTATTATATTAATTCATTTTTCTATGAAGAGAAGAATTTCTCGAGCTCAAAATTCTTCATTAGACATTAGTGATAGGGTTTAAGAGTCCCTCAGTGCAAAGTTTTCTTCTTATTTATTGCTCTAGAACTACTCACGTCTGATTATTATATTACCAAATCCTCACTACACAAAACAAAACATTAAAATACCGCTAAAGCGACCCTAAGCGCGCCTCTCTGCCTCTAATATTTTCAATCATCCACCAAGCGTGACCCATTTAAAATAAACAACAAAATAAATAAAAAAAAACTCAAATTATCATCAGTATCTGCAGTAGAAGTAGATTGTTTCCAACAAAAAAAAAAAAAATTAACGACTGTGACTCCCTCCCACTCTTTCCCACACTCAAAAACTTATCTAAAAATCATTTTTTATTTTATTTTTCACTTTTTCGCCCATTTAAAATTGAACACCGTTAACCGCAGTCAGCAACGTCGCCCGGGCGACCATATTCTTAAATGTCATTTGCAGTTATATTGCGGTATTGCGGCCAAGTTACTGTTACTTTCAGGCCTTTTCGTTCTCTACTTTTAATATTATTTTTATTTATCTATGCTTATGGCATTTTCTTTTGCCATTTCTACTAAACGGTTTAAGAACATTGTTTGTATGATGGTTGTTATGTCCAAAGGATCAGCCGTAAAGCCAACAAGCCAAAGAGAATAACAGGAAAAAAGCACAGTACTACTTCTAGGCGTTAAAGTATACTACTGTAAATATATAGATAAATGTGTGTATATGTGAGGTATTTAGATATGCTTGTCTTGCATCATCTGCTTTACTTTACAGTTTATTTTCTTCATGCTGATTTTATGCCCACCCAATTGTCTACATTACGGCATTATCTGCGTGTTGTTCTTGTCTTACCCACTGCTCACTTTGCTGCTCTTTTTTTTTTGCGTAACTTAACCTCTTAGCGTGTGTGTGTGTGTGTCTGTGTATGTAAGAGAGTTTTTCCTCCATCACACCGCTTTCGATTTAAAGATGTAGATTTTTCTTTCAAAAACAAATCACGTGATTTCCAAGCAGTTTCGCTGCTCATTTGCTAGACTTGTGGGTTGTCTTTTTTTCTCAATTCACAGCCACTTTTTCCACACACTTCTCCATACCTCAAAACCATGTCTTTTTCATTTGTTGGTCAATGTTGTATGGGATTTTTTTTTTTTTTTTTTGTAATATCGGATTACTTTGGGCCATTTGTTCAACGCTTGCTTTCTTACTTGCCCAACCGCACACTACGTACATACATACGTATGTTTAAAGGAATGCCCGATTATGAGTTATAGCATATAATAACATTTAACTGCAAATCGGATAATGATGTTACAATCACAAGCGAACAAAATAGGCAATGCCGCATACAGAACGGACATTCGATAAATGTAGCAGGAAAAATGTGATTGAAAAGTAATTCAATCGGAATGGAAATATTTGAAAATCACATCAAATGAATGAAATCAAATTATTTTGTGCCCAAATTGTGTGAATAGAAGTTTCGTTTGTTTATTCTTGATCAACGCAATATGCAATATGTATGCCTTTTATTTATATACATATTTTCTCGCTCGTATGTATTCTATTTATGGTCTGTTAAATATTATGGTGAGCATCTTGTGCTTTAAATTGCCTCGTCCGGAGCAAGCAATTGCTCATAAATATATATGCGATTTAAGTTTATTCATAGGCTTATTTGTGTTGTAATAATTATAGGTTTTTGTATATTTTTTCTTATTTTTTTTTTTATATTTTTTCACTTTTGTGCGCGCGCCCTAATAATCCTTCCTCAATGCATGCAGCTATATAAGCCTTGCTTGTCAAGCGCGCACCGGGGTGATAAATAATATAAAGCATAGTAATAATAATTATATATATTGGGTAAAAAATATATTTTGTCATCAAACAAAAAATAAAATAGTAATAAAAGTTTTGTATTAATAATAAAATAAAAAATTACATAATCAAATTCAAAACGCGAGTGGTTTTATTTCGGGTGACTTACGAAGGGACCCTCGTGTAAAGACAAATTTTTATGTTTTTTTTATTTTGTGTACAATTTGGTTTATTTTCCTCTTTTATAAATCCCCAAATTTCTTATTTTTTCGGATAGTTCAAAATCTCTGGTTTTTCACTAATGAGGATTTTAATTTTTTCGATCTCTTTTTATTAATTTATTATTAATAAACTCAACTATTTTGTTCCGTTTAGCCAAACGAAAAATTGAAAATGACTGCTTGCTATGATTTAACAGAACACTTCGATTTTAACGTTTTAACATTATCTGTTAACGATGTAACATTATCTGTTAACGATTTAACTTTATCTCTTAATGGTTTAACATTATCTGTTAACGATGTAACATTATCTGCTAACGATTTAACAGCATTCGTTTAGGGTGAAAACGAAAATAAATTTATTTTTAAGACTAAATGTTTCAACCGAAACGATAGAAATTTTGCTATTTAGGCGAAATTTTGCGATTAAGGCGAAATTTTGCGATTAAGGCGAAAATTATCGGTTACGATTCAGCCTTGGTTTTTTCCAAAGTTTTTTTGTTATATTATTTTAATTATTATTTTTTGATTTTTTTTGTTTGAATCCTGGAATTTTATGGTTTTCCCCTTCGTTTAGTTAGAGATTTAATAAAAATAATTGCGAAAAAAAACTCAGGCACTTGGTTATCGTTTCAGAACAGTCCCAAAAAAGTTCATTGCTCAGAGGCGACGCTGATGATTTTTCTTACTTAAAAACTTACTTAGTCGAAATTTGCATTAAAATCGCAGGGAAATCAGCTGTTAGACTAGTAACAGTTGAAAAGGTTAACAGAAAAGAGAGCATACTTCTGAACGTCATTTTATATTCGTTTTCTTCTTTGCGGTAGTAGACTCCGCTCACTTACTATTTAGCGTTAATTAGAAATATCAGATACTGTCAGGTCCTTCTCTAACTGATCTCTCCAATGGAGTGAAGGTCTTCATCTTCCTCTTCTTCCACTGGAAGGCACTGCAAGAAAGCCTTCAAAGCTGCGCAGGCGCTGTTTTTTATTCGTTTAACTATGTTAATGCCGCCGAATATTTCATTATTAGGACCATAAATCTTACGTAAAGCCCTTACGTAAAGCCCTTCTATCGAAAGTTTCTTACGCCGCCGAGATAAAAGTCTTTGACGGTTTAGGCGCTAAGTTGGGACAATGAAAACTTTTCAAGCCGGACCACAGCCGAATTTTTCCAGGTTGAAGTCACTGCGCTTGAGAAAGCCGCTAAGCCGATCAACATTGAAACAACAATTAAATCGTCTATATATATACATATGCACATAGATGCTGATTCATGGAGGCAATAATCTTACATCACTTTTCTGTAAGAAATGCCCTAAAAGGCAATGAAGCAGTGATTGATGTTACTGTCGCAAAGACTTTTTAGAGAAATAAATAGTCATTGAAGTGTACAGAAGTATCATTATTCTAAAGATTGAACTTGATGAACGGAATTGAGGATCGCTTGCAAAACTATTTAAATTCAACATCTGCAAAATTGCTGCATAGCACCGCGGTAAGCCTAAGGACTGGTAGCAGATAAATGCCAATTGGGAACAACTAATAATGATACATGCACAGAGTGTGTTGTGTACATATATTGTACCCCAAATTACGTCCACTATCTGTATTCAGTCCTATAAAACCAGCATCTCAGTGATATATGAGGTTACCCAGTTGAAATATGTTAAAGCCTGCAGTTACCGCATGGTTACCAGTAGGCGTTTCCAAACACTTAAGGTCTTTCTGGTCTTGCTTTCGAATTCTAAATAGTAGGTAAACTACTTTAAAATCTGTGTGTCATTCTGACATGAAAAATTGTCTCCTCATAAAAATCCATCAGCTGATGGGTGACGCCAGAGGAAAAATGTGAAAATGCCTTCAATTTATAAAACAACAACAAAGTCAATATTGTAAATTGGAAGAGGAGTTCAACCAAAACTCATTTCAGTGGATATTAAGCACGAATTACATTTGTATATAAAATAATATGTACGTCTACAAAAAGTGAGTTAGTTCAGGGCAGAGCAAAGATTGTCCAAGTTAAGGCAGTGAGCTGCTTTAGGCCCGAAAAAATCGTATTTTCAGCAATTCAGTAAACGATTCAAAAAATATTTTAAAATTACAACAACCAGTGGAGTTTTCTAATATTGTGATAAGTTTTCTGAAACCTCTTTCAGTCTGCAGTGTGAAATGGACGGAGGTCGTCCGATTATTTGTAATATATACATATATATAAATAAATAAAAAAAATATGCCGAAAAAATAAGACTCCCAATTTTTTGAATTATGAAAACAAATCCACCTTTTTGAAAAAAAATTCAGCTTTTTAAAAAATTAAATTTTTTGTGGATATTTTTTTTTCAAGTAGACGATATTTAAACCCGGAGCCAGATGACTATGATGCCTTAACAGACTACTGATTTAAATTCATCGAATGTAGATTATGGAGTTGGGAGTAGAAACTCTCTGGGCACCGAAAGAAATTCAATTTTTTTTATTCAAAAAATGTAACGGAATTGACTTCACATTATTCAATGGTTAAGAAAGGGATTTTTTTAATTTACAATTTTGTTCAATATTTGATCCTTTACCTTGAGATTTGCAGCTTTGCAATTACTAAAAAATACATTTTCAAATACAAACTAAAAAAAATTGCAAAAAATCCTCAAGAGCGTAAAACTAAAATGAGTGTCGATAATTCAAAGTGCGCAAAAAAGGTAACAAACACATAGCAAAACAGCACAGCCGGATGATTAATTGTATGGGATTGCATGGAGTAACAGCTGAGCACCTCTGCGTCATTTTGCCAAGGCACCTATACACTTTCGCGATTAAATTTTTTTTGTTGCCACCACACCTTGTTGTATTTTACATTTTTTTTTTTAAATACACTTTCCTTTCTTTTAGTATTTTTTTAATTTTTTTTATTGTTAACAATAGTCTCGTCATAGATATTTCCCACAGCTACAATATGGATGACCCACACAATTCACGAGTTGATTGTTTTCAAAATTATTATTAAACCGCCAACGGCAATGATTGTAATAACCATAATACCCATCGTATCGTAGGCAATATACACATACGTACAAAAACCGCCACCGATACGCACATATACTGTGCCACGTATACAGCATTGAAAAATACAGCTTCGATTCGCTCGCACACGAAATTCGTAACTGAAATGGCTGAAACGACATAGGAAATTGTAGGTGGAAATGGCAGTAGTAGCAGCGGAAGAGAAGATAGAAATAAAAAAATTCAAACCAAATGGAAAACATTATGAAATGGATGGCTCAAAGAAAAGGTAACAATAAATGCCGACATAACTCTGTAAATATGTTTGGGCTAAACAAATGGCATGCCAGCGTTGCTATTGGAAGTAGAGAGGAAATTCATTTCGTTGATTTCCCAAATGATTTCGTAAATAAATTTTAGCGCCAAAAGCAGGAAACAAAAAAGGCAAGGAAGAATATTTAGAGCTGAGCTCCAATAATGAGGTGTGCAGCTCTCCTTGTCTACCTGGCCTTTGAATTTATTGTAGGAATATAAAAGAAAATGATCGATTAAAGTTCAAAACTCGCAGGAAAGTTGAAGCGACGTTTATCAATTTCTTTTTGTTTTCCCATTTTTTTCGTTTATAGCATTTTCATTATTTTAATCTATTGTATTTGCTCAAATATGTGTGTGAATGTACTCACATAGGGCGGTGTGATCAATAACTATGCATTCTATATAGTAAGGAACTATTTTCTAGTAACTCAAAAATTTCGTAATGATATTTTAATCTAATAAAGAAATTAGGCATAATTTTAAGTGTAAGGATTTTGGCAAAAACTTGTTATGATTCTTCGAATAGTTTAATTTTATAATTATTTCAATATATCTTTGTTCACTGTGATTCTACCTCTATCTCATGTCGTTTACCTCGCATTGCAGGATCCCGATGCGTCTTTCGATATAAATGGCAATGACTCCGATCCGACGCCACAAGACAATGGTGATAATAAGCACGGTACTAGGTGCGCCGGAGAAGTGGCGGCGGTTGCGTTCAATAACTATTGCGGAGTGGGAGTGGCTTACAATGCAAGTATTGGAGGTAAGTGAAATAAATAAAAAATAATAATTTCGAACAAAAATTGTCACACAGATGGAAACAAAATAGCAAAAATTGCATAAATTAAGGTAAAGTAACGTAAAAATTAATTAAACTAATTTAAATTAAACTGAAAAATTATTTTCAATAAACTAAATTGGATAAATTAAACAAAGTCTTGCTAAATAAAAGACAACCAATTATTATGAAAAAACCATACAAATTAAGCAAATTATAAAAAATTATGAAATCAAAAACTAAATGGCAAAAAAAATTATATTAGGTGATATCAAATTGCATTAAAGAACATAATATCTAAAAAAATACATTGACCTGGATTCTGATTATGTTATATGTATTAAGTTTTATTAAATATATAAGGAGAAGTAAAAAAATATACATAAAATACAATAATTTAAGGTCAAAAATATAATATTAAATAAAATTAAAAATAAACCTTAAAAAATTACAGATTACAAACATAAAAAACAGACATTTTTAAAAATTATTAAAAGAAAATACAAAAAAAACATAACCTTAAAAAAATACAATAACATAAAATAAATTAAATTGAATTAAATTAAATTGAACTTATTTATCAAACTAAAAAAATAACAAAAAACTAATAAAAAATGTAATAAATTTAAATCAATTAAAATAAAACAAAATAAATAAAAAAAACTTTAATTAAAAACAAATAGAAATAATTAAATTAAAATTATATAAAACAAAGCAAAAAATAAATTAAAATTAAAAACAATAAGATAAATAAAAATAAATAAGAAAATAAAATAACAAAAAATGAAATAAAAAAATACAACAAATTAATTTAAAAAATGAATTAAATAAAATAAAAAATAACGCAATAATAAATTAAAATTAAATTTAATAAAATATAATAAAATAAAAAAACTAAATCTAAAATAAAACAAAATAAAATAAAAAAAAGTAAATTAAAATTAATTAATAAAATAAAATAAATCAAATTAAATGAGAATAAATAAAAGAAAATAAAATAAAAAGAATCTACTAAATTGAAGTTACATTAAAATAAATTAAATTAAATAAAATATAAAAAATATGAAAATTAAATAACTATAAAATATAAATTAAAAAGTAAAAATAAGAAATATACAATAAAATAAAAATATATAATAAAATAAGTTTAAAAAAAAAAATATAATAAAATTATATTTATTGCATTAATTTATAAGATAAATACCAATATTAAATATATTGTAATACCAATGTATTTAGCGCATAAATAAATTTAAAAAATGGCAAATCAGATAATATAAATTAAACGAAATAAATTTAAATAAATATATACATATTGGGTGTATTCTTTAATTCGTGCGGTTTTTTCGAAAATTAAGACTTTATTGTGAAAAAAATTTTATACATTTAATGTAGCTGTATGGTAGTTTGTGCATATCATCCCAAAAGAACTTCTTCGTCTTGCAGGTCAAGAAAGAATCGAGCCAATTTCCGATATCCTCTTTTGAAGTGAAGCGTAATCCGGTGACGGCATCTGTACAAGTGGTAATCGGAAGTTGCTATGTCTGGGTTAATAAAGGCAGATGAGGTAGAACTTCCCATCCATAGTTTTCCAAATAGTTTTAAACTGGCCTTGCAATATATGGCCGAGCGTTGTCATGATGAAAAATTATTGATTCGTGTCTGGTCGCATATTCTGGTCGTCTTTTTGCGATGGCCTTTTTCAAATGAATCTATTGTTTTCGGTAGAGGTCCCCATTGATCGTCCAACCCGATTTCAATAGCTCATTAAAGAGCATACCCTTGTGGTCCCACCAAATACATAGCATAACCTTAGCACCATGGATATTCGGTTTTGCGGTGGATGTCGATGGTTGGCCGGGCTTCACATACGATCTCTCGCGCTTGGGGTTATCATTATGAATCAATTTTTCATCGATAATCCGATGCAGAAATGTTTTCTTTTGGTAGCGTTGAAGCAACATTTCCGACATGCAGAATCGACGCTCGACGTCTCTTGGCTTTAATTCATAAGGCACCCAATTTCCAAGCTTCTGACAACGGGAAATAACAGTACCTTTGGAATGAATATAGCCACAGATGAACACGATGCGAAATAACACTATTAGAGCCATCTCTTAGAAAACCGCACGAATTAATAAGGGTGTATTCATAATCGTAAATAAAATATAACAAAATTAACTAATTAAAATTAAAATTAACAATAAAGTGTGCTAAATAAAATTTACATTAAGGAAAAATTTAAGTTATAAAATCAAATAAAATTAAATTAAATATAATAATGAAAATCAAATAAAGCAGCACACAAAAATTAAAAAGTGTAATATTAATAATTAAAACAAGTTACATTCATATAAACTTAATGAAAATTTAAAAAAATAACAAAACAAAGTAGTTTATAATGAACTAAATACTTTTCTCTTCAAAGTAAGTAACAAATCTGAGAAGCTTATTGAAATTGAATGCATTTAAATTTTTCAAATGTGATTCAGTTACATTGTAAAGTCATATTTCATGCTCCTGCTTTACTAAAGCCTTTGATTTCCATTATCTAGCTGTTAAAATGAAACTGCTGAAAGAAAGATGCTTTGCAAGTAAATTACAATATTCTTTGGCTACAAATATTTATATTTAGCCATGTGTATGGGTTTATATATATATATATATATATATATGCACATATTTCTCATCTCAACTTGTGCACCGATATGGTATTAAAACTCTGGATCTGTTTTGGCAACTGCAACGTTATTAAGCACACAACGTTCTCCTCTTTACGTCCATACACTGAACACCAACTAAATATATATCGGCCTTTATAAATCAACCTCACTTAACATGATATTCATTATTTCATTTTTTGCTATTCTCTTTCCAATCACACTCTACTCTTTCACATATCTTACTTTATCTCTTTGCAGGCGTCCGTATGTTGGATGGTAAAGTGAATGATGTTGTCGAAGCGCAGGCTTTGAGCTTAAATCCATCACATATTGACATCTACAGTGCCTCATGGGGTCCCGAGGACGATGGCTCAACGGTGGATGGCCCTGGGCCATTGGCACGGCGCGCTTTCATTTATGGCGTAACTAGCGGACGACAAGGCAAGGGTTCGATATTTGTTTGGGCATCGGGTAATGGTGGTCGCTATACGGACTCGTGCAACTGTGATGGTTATACGAATTCGATTTTCACACTGTCCATTTCGAGTGCAACGCAAGGCGGGTGAGTAAAAAAAAAAATAAAAATAAAAAAAAAAATTAAAAGAAACACACACACACAAACACAAAGGTGTTTAATGTATGTGGTTGGGCTATACTCAAGATTGCCAGATTTGAGTGTATGCGTTCAGAATACAATTATTTGTTTTAAAAGCGATTACTTATTTGTGCGAAATTAAATAAATAAATCCAACATTTGAAGAGTAATATAGTTATAAAAATATTTATGAGGAAAAAAAATTAAGAATTTTTAGAGCATAAACTGAAGTTAACGTTGCCTTCCATGAGATTTAGTTTAAAGCTGAGCTAGCCTAGTAAATTTAATATTTTTCGTAAAGTAGTGAGAAGTGCAAAACTTCTTAAAAATGCCTTAGGTTCATCCATGAGCCGTACAGAAGTATTCCGCATAACTCAACTCATAAATTTTTGTGCTTTAAATCGAGTTTTAGGCTCATAAGCTACCTAAAACGTGTCTTATTTGATATGAGTTTATATGGGTTTTTTCATAATTTATTTAATTAAATAAAAATAATAAATAAAATTTATTAATTTAAATGAAATTTTTTTTTAAATTTTTAATTAAAAATAAAGTTTTATTTATAAAAATAATATTATTTTTAATAAATTTTGAATTAACTTGCTAAAACTTAAATAATTAGCTAGAAGTAAAATATAAAATTAGAAATATAATTTATTGAAAATATGCGTAAATCACTAGATATCGTATCGAACTTCAATTTTAATTATTACTTTAATTAAAAAAAATGCAATATTAAATTTAAAAATTTTAATTAAGCCTGAAATGGATTTTTAGAGGTTTGAATCAATTTTAATTATTTTTCAATGTTGAAAACAAAATTTTTGGATGTTCTATTTTTTAATTAATTTAAAAATAGTTACTTATGGCACAAAATAAGTTTTTTAATTAAAATAAATAACAATTTATTTGAGGTTTTTATTAATATTTAAATTATTATTATTATTATTGTTAATTAATATCAATATTAATTATGGAGTAATTTATATTGAACTCAAATAATTATTAGTTAAAACTTTGTCTATAATTTGAAGAAAAACAAATCGTAAAAGACGCAAATCACTAGTTCATAAATAGAAGTTTAATTAAATTAAAATAGTTAGTCGGCTTAACGTCAGCATATTTTGATTTCAAGCTGGCAACCTTTTTCAGTTTAAAATAAAAAAAAGATCGCTAAAAACATTAATAGAAGTTATATTAATCTACAATAAAGTTTTGAATTAAAAGAAGCTATTTTTTATGTGAAATATTTTATCAATACTCAAATTGCCGTTTATAAATTTGAAAATAAATTTTTGTTTTTAAATTTTTGGTTCACTTTTAAGTTACTATTTTCTAATTTAAAATTAAGCTACAATTTAGGGCTTACCTCAATTTAAAAATATTTATTGATTAAATTGAAATTAATATCCAATTAAATTTCTCGTTGAGACTTAAACAACCATTTTTTTAATTTGACATTAAATTTAATTACAAATAAGTTTTTAATTAAGAGTACAATTTGCTACTTTTAAATCGATAATAAATTATAATCAAATATAAAATTCAGATTAAGTATAATATAAATAATTATAATCTCATAGTTACTTATTTATTTTAAAATAAATTTTGAAGCAATTTTCATTCGCGATTTTAAGCACTTCCTTTAAATTCGAATTGAACTTCTTAATAAATCTTCAATGAAGACTAAAATTATTTTTTTAAACTGATAAGAAATTACAATGAAAACTTAATTATAACTGAATTTTTTTTATTTCTATATTAAGTTCCTCATCATCTTTAATCGAACCTAAAATAATTATTAACTTCAATGAGATCAAAATAATTATTTATTAATTAAAAATTTTTTTTGGATGTATATTTATATAAAAATGCGTTAAATGTCCAAATGTTTCAGAAAATTAATTATGTTAATTTTTATATACCTCAATTTGGTTTCTTGATAATCGAGACATCTGAACTCTCCTTTAAAAAGAACAAATATTTAGTCATTAAACTTTACTAAAATAGAAAAACACACATTTTGCTGCATTGAAATTTTGTATTTATTAACAAATGGATAATAAATATAAATATTGCCAATTAAAATCTACCATAAACTTTAATTACTCACAATTACGCCACTCATTGCCCAACTCGAAATGCACTTTGCGTGTGCCTAAAGATATGTTTGTACGTATGTATATATGAGTTTGGCATGACTGATTGCAATCATCAATAGTCGAGCGTATATTTATTATATAATTTTGGTATATTTTATCAACACACATACATTTGTGTGGTATGGTGGTACATACATGTGTATGACCGCAGTCGATAATAAAATATTTACTACACCACACTTTTCAATTAAACAATTTATTTATTTTTAAAAATATATATATATATATATATATATATATATATATATATATATATATATATATATATATATACATATATATATGTATACTAAGCAGAGTTCTTGTTGCATTTTACATATTTTTTTATTTGAATATTTATTTTTGTTTTGTTTTAATGTTTGGTTTATTTCGGTAATCAAGTATGAAAGCGCTTAAAATCGATTATGGTCAGAATGAAAATTTCCAATTTGCCGTGGCCAAGCGCAAGTGGTTAGAAGAATTGAATTGAGAAAAACTACTAGCTTGAAAATAATAATTTTATTACATTTTTAATAAATATTACTTCCATAGAATATAAATTTAATACACGAAAGGGGTTTTTTTTTTACAAATAAAAACACAAAATTATTCAAATGCAAAATGAAAAAAATTGCTGGGAGTTGTGGCATGCTTTTAGGTGCTTTATTGGCGTTTATATATATATATTTTGATAGTAATTTAGTAAATTATTATATTTTTAAACAAAATTAATTTCTACAATTATTCAATTTATATTTACTATTGTGTTTGTACCATACATTTATTAAATATTTAAAACTATTGGTTTTGATGGCATACATTTTAATTTGTATATTTTGTTGTCTGCCTTTAGGCGCGAAAGCATGCAACGAATTGTATATAATTTACGTCATTGCTAAAGTTTCGCTTTTAATTGGCAATTAATGAGTGGGTTTATGGTATTTTAATATGAAAATTGCAATGTGCACGTGTGCACAATAATGCGTACCTTCATCAGTATAAATATATCATTAATAATAATAAGCATATAATTTAATACCGTATAATGTATTTCACTATTTCCCATTTTTAAAATAAACTTATGCATTTGCATTTTTGTATATTAATTGTGAAATGTTTATATTGCTGTATATTTGTCGACCCACTACTTGTTAATTACCAATTAAGGGTTTAACGCTTTTTATTTTTACATTTCGGTGTAATTGAGCTTAACACAGAGAAATATAAATAAAATAAATTTAAAATTAGTGCTGCGGCACAAATTTGTGATCCAAATAACTGACATTTATGGTAGTTTGAGTGCCTGTTAATAATTTTTATCTCGAAAATATCGAAATAACCCGCATTTTGCCACCAAGTTTACTTCGTGCCATACTTTGGGTAGCAATATTTAATGAAAAAGTCGCTGTATAGTTTTAAGCGCAATATTCAATGAAAATAATTTTCATTGTATAATTTTCGGCGCAATATGTTTAGGTAAGGTTGAACTAGCTATCGATGTATTTTTTTTTCTTACGGGTAAGGAGAAGAAAAATGCCTTCCGCATCATCATTGTGTCGTCACATCGATGGTGTGTGCCGCTCTTAACTCAGTTTTTTAGCACGGTCTTTATATAATCGCTATGCTTCACCAACTTTCCACTACAATTCCTTCATTTCATGAGATATTAATTCATGAAATATATCCATAACACCTGAAATTTCAGCCTAAAATTCAACGCAATGATTGGGTAGCCCAGCCTGAACAAGAACTTTAAAGGTGAGTCTCTTGGCAAGACGCCTTCTCCAATTCTTTCACCAAGCTTCGATCCATACGAGTATATTTCCATACCGCAGATTTGGATACCGAGAATGTTCCTCTATTCCTCCCCTCAACAGAGATGAATTATATTGTCCAATTATTGTTAGCTAATTGTGCTACTTGGTATAATATTTTATTCTTCTAGTATTGTCGAGTGTCAAAATCTTTGATTATTCTGCTGATTAAGCTTCCTCAGTAGAAGAACGGCTAGCGCTACAGTTTGAAAAAACTCTTAGATCTAATGGAAAAATATCGAGAATCGCTTTTCAAGCTGAATTTGGCGTGGGCACCGTGGTAACCCTGTTCATCGTAGGTCACCATACCTCAACCTAATACACTCATACAAAAGAGACAGATCTTAGGATTTAAACTTCATTTCTTACGTCTCATATCTGCTTCATATTTTGGCTTTTCAGTTCAGCTTGTTTGCCTTCGAAGCCACGGAAGATCAACCCCACTTACAATTGGCGGGTTTATTGTCGGTACTTTATATCTTTTAGTAAATAACACGAGTTCCACCTAGTTTCAGTTAAACCAAAGTTCCCTCCCAACAGTTCTCTGCATCAAGCCGCATAGAGTATGTAGAAACTTAGCCTGTAAGTCGTGGTAATATTATCTGCGCAGTCAACCATTCTAGCTTTTCTCAGTCAGAGTCTTCCAAAAGCGAGTTCACTTTTCACTGGAAAGAGGTCGTCAATGTGATCTGCTATCATCCCAGGCTCGCGGTTTGAGATCTACAGGAGAGTAGTTGACTCGTGACTGTCATTACTTGGGTGTTAACCCTAGAATTTTTAAGGCCGAAGATAACCAGACAAGATAACGTTGAAAGCCCCATCTATGTCCAGGAAGGCAGCTAGGCAGAATTTGTTTGGGTTGAGAGGTCTTTCATTGAAGGAAATTAGATATAGCTGCGTGGTTGCTATCGTTTTGAACTATTTTTAATAATTATTTTCCAAAGTGCATGATTCAAAACTGCTACTTTATTGTTGTTGTTATGGCGGCAAGTCTTACTCCACTAATGAGTAGACAAAATCAAACTTAGTCATACAATTATCTAACGGAAGATTCTGTTGCCGCCCAGTCGTTTTGTGGCAATTGCAGTCGTACTTCGGGTTATTCGTTATCGAAATTTTTACGACATCGCGTTGGTCCGTTGCTTTTCAAGCTGGTGAAGAGGGTAGCCGAGGATTTCACAGCTTGCATCCATAATGTAATTGTCCTGCAGTGAAAAAGTGGGAAGGGTCGTCGGAGCAACGGCATACTTTTGAGCGGAAGTTTAACTTTCAATTCAACATCTTTCTGGCAAATTTTTTTCACCTCCGGGAATGTCCATTTAGGCTTGAGTTTTCTGTATTTCAATATTTATTTATTTTTTATAAAATCTAAACTTTTTATTTATTTTTTCTCTTATAACCTCTCCTCTACATTCAGCTTCAAACCCTGGTACCTTGAGGAGTGCTCTTCTACGCTAGCCACCACATACAGCTCCGGCACGCCCGGCCATGATAAGAGTGTAGCCACCGTAGATATGGATGGTCGTCTGCGACCCGATCATATCTGCACCGTGGAACACACTGGCACCTCCGCCTCTGCTCCGCTCGCCGCCGGCATTTGCGCGCTAGCACTGGAAGCTAACCCCAATCTCACCTGGCGCGACATGCAATATCTTGTCGTTTACACTTCACGACCGGGACCATTGGAGAAGGAAAGTGGCTGGATATTGAACGGTGTTAAGCGTAAGTACAGTCACAAATTTGGTTATGGCCTCATGGATGCTGGCGCTATGGTGAGTTTGGCTGAGCAATGGACAACGGTGCCGCCACAACACATATGCAAGTCACGTGAAAATAATGAGGATCGTAAAATTGAAGGCTCTTATGGCTACACGCTAGCCACTCACATGGATGTGAATGGTTGTGCTGGCACGATCAATGAAGTGCGCTATCTGGAGCATGTGCAGTGTCGCATTACGCTGCGTTTCTTTCCACGTGGCAATTTGCGCATTTTGCTCACATCGCCAATGGGCACGACCAGTACGCTGCTGTTCGAGCGTCCACGTGATATAGTGAAATCAAACTTTGATGATTGGCCTTTCTTGAGCGTACACTTCTGGGGTGAGAAGGCAGAGGGTCGCTGGACTTTGCAAGTGATAAATGGTGGTCGGCGTCGTGTCAATCAACCGGGCATACTCTCCAAGTGGCAATTGATCTTCTACGGCACAGCAATGCAGCCAATGCGATTGAAGAGTGATTTAATGCAACAGCAAATGCGCGTCTCTGCAGGAGTCAATCCTTACACTTATCCCACTGAGTCGGATTTGGGGCAGCCCACAAATGATGGCGGTTACTATAATGCCGATCAATTTGCTGGCTATTTAAATTTCCAAAATTTATTCACCGGCGCCGGTTCAAATCCAGAGCAGGCGGTCGCCACGGTGGACGGTCATAATATACCAACGCCACAACGTCAGAACGTCATGGCGGACTCGAATAATAAGCTCGTATTGCATGATTGTGATCCAGAATGTGATTCGCAGGGATGCTACGGTCGCGGCCCGACGCAGTGTGTCGCCTGTAAACATTACCGCCTGGATAAGTAAGTGTCTACTATTGATTTTTGTAATACAATTTAAGATATTTGCATTCTTTTTTACTCCCAGCACGTGCGTTAGCCGGTGCCCGCCACGCTCTTTTCCCAACCAGGGTGGGGTCTGCTGGCCCTGCCATGAATCCTGCGAAACTTGTGCAGGCGCTGGTCAAGACAGCTGTTTGACATGTGCACCTGCACATCTACATGTCGTTGATTTGGCTGTGTGCCTGCAAGTTTGTCCCGATGGATATTATGAAAGTAAGTGGAGAAATATAAATATTTTCAAAAACTTTAAAAAAAAACATAATCAATTTAAGACTAATATAAATAGAAATAAAATAAAACAAATATAGTGAAACTGTTATAAAAAAATTAAATAAACTAAAATAAAACTAAAGAACAAGTAAAATAATTAAAAGCCGTTTTAATTTGATATCAAAAAAAAATTTCAAAATTAAATTAATAAAGAAAAAATTAAAAGTAAATGGCAAATAAACAATATAATATAAAAATAAAGCTTAATTTAGTAAATAAAATACAACAAAATTAAACAAAATATAAATCAAATAAATTAAAACTGAATAAATTAAAATAAAATATATGAGAAAAAATTAAATAAATTCACAAAATTTCAAACAAAAAATTTTTTATTTTAAAACAAAAAAATAAATAAAATAAATTAAAAAACGTATATGGCTCATATTTAAATAAAATTAATAAAAAATTAAATTAATATAAAATAAAATACAATTAAAGGTAAATAAAGTAAAATCCAATTACCTCAACTAACATAAAAAAATAATTAAAAAATATTGTAAAATGATATAAAATAAGATAAAACAAAAAACAAATTAAAATAAAAGAAAATAAAATAAAGTTAATTAAAATAAAATAGAGAAAAAAATTAAAATAAAAAACAAAGTAAAACGAAATAAAATAAAACAAAATAAAGTAGAATGAGTAGAATGCAGTAAATAATTATAATTAAAACAAAATAAAATAATTTTAAAAAAATAAATAAAATGATTTAAAATATAATTAAATAAAGTAAGACGAAAAAAAATCTAAATTTAATTTAATTTATAAAACTTATATAACTATTACAATGAAACAAAAAAATATTAAATAAAAAGAACTGAAATAAAATAAACTAAAATTAGGAAAACCTAAATTGAAATAAAATAAAATAATAATAAATAATAATAATATAATAAATATAATACAATAATAAAATTTAATATAATGTAATATAATATAATATAATATAATATAATATAATAAATTAAAATAAAAAACTAATTTAAATTAATTTTAATAAAATAAAAGAAAATTGCAAGTAATTAAATAAAATTAAACAAAATTAAATTAAATTAAATAAATTTATATTTAAATAAAATAATATTAGAAAGCCAAAAATTATAAACAAATGTATAAAAGTTATTTAAATAAAATAAAATACCTGAAATGAAATAAAAGAAAATGAATGAAACGGAATAAAATGAAATTAAATTAAATTAAGGAATTGAAAAAAAGTAAAATAAAATATAATATCAAATACAATAACGTTAAATTGCATAAATTGAGTCAAATAAACTAAAATTTAATTAAATAAATAAACGTAAATTAAAAATATGAAATAAAAGAAAATAATTAATGTGTATTATAAATTACAATAAAATTTATTCAAATAATATAAAATACAATAAAAGAAAAGTTTTAAACAAAATTTAAATTTTCTATTAAAATTCCCTTTACAGATTATGATAACAAAACTTGTGTGCCATGTGAAGCTAATTGCGCCTCCTGTCAAGATCGTCCCGACTATTGTACGAGCTGTGAGCATCATTTGGTCATGCACGAACATAAATGTTACTCCGCCTGTCCATTACATACGTACGAAACGGAAGATTATAAGTAAGTGAAAAATAATATCAAATATTTGGTAAATTCAGAATTTGTCGCTAAAACTAATATACAAATATTCTAAATAGAAAAAGAAATACATTTAATACACAATGATTACATTCTGGTTTAGTGAAGCAATGACGACGGGAAAAATAAATATTATATTTAATTATTTGAAATATTAATATCCACAGGGTATTTAGCAAACATTTATTTATTCAAGTGGAAATGTTTCTAAAAAAAAATTTAAAATTTTGTTTTATGACTATGCATTCATTATTAAATTTTTTTTTCATAATTCAAAGCATTTTAAATATTTATTATTCACACAGGGAATATTTACTACATGTATAATTAGCAATTTAATTATTTTGGGAAATAACCAATTTGTCGGAATAATTTTAATTTATATCAAGGTTTGCGCTTATAAATATTATAGCTGAGCGAAGTAGAATATAATCAAAAATTGATATGTATGTAAATAGCCTTTAATTTAATGCACTAGTTAATTATTACTCCAAAACAACTATGGTGAGCTTGCTCGACTAGTTGGATTGAAATAGAAAAAAATTGGCATTAATGAACTCGCATTTGACAGCTTACGAACAGAAACACAATAGAGCCATACTAGTTCAGAATAGAGCAAAAAATCACTAACTCAGCTTAGTACCAAAATCTTTCATTTTACTTAAAAAGGCATTAAAATTATAAAACTGAAATTAATTATTCTTTACGGTAACAATGACTTTCACTTTTCGCTCTAGTACTTGTGATTTCTGTCAGAAAATTATACTTCCAAATTAGTATACTTTCGGACTAGTTTGATAATTAGCTACTGCGTATGTAGCCGCTGTATGTGCGTCTACGTAGGTATGTGCGTGTGTGCATATTCCCAGAATATTCATAAATCAAAAAATGTATTCGCCACATTTACTATATAATTGCACAAACACACAAGTGTTATTGTAATTAGTTTTCAATTAAATTTATATTATAGCTTTACGTTATGATTTTATATACATATTTAAATACATATACACACAAATGTAAGAGTGTTATGTGTTAAAGACATGGGCATATAGATATATGTATTTGTATAAAATTTCACCTAAGTTTTTTTCCCGCTTTTAAACGACCATATTCATCACTAGCCTTATTTCTTTTGTCTTCCATTTGCCATTACTGTCACGAATTGTAGCAATTGATAAGCCATTTAAATATTTTTATTGGAATTTTTATTATTTTGGTTCTTTCATTTTACAAAATGTACTCATATACTGAAAACTTTCCAATAAACCATTCAAAAATATTTTAAATTAATACCGAATTAATTTTTTTGGACACAATAAATCCCTTTGAGAACACCAAAAACTTAACATTTGGAAGGGTATTTTACTTAATGGCGCAATTTACAAATTTTTGTTGTCAAATTACAACTTTTTTGGCCACACATACTAGCGAACTTGGTATCGCCAAGTATTGGTGGGAAAAATTTCGACACACATCAAAATTTATCTGCATAAATCTGCATTGATTTTCTAATGTTTAGACGGCCCTGCTACTTGCATGTTCAGAAATTAATTTCTGGCCTTCCTGTTTATATATATTTATAGCTTACATATACATATTTAAGTACAAAGTATGTATGTATGCTCTCCGTTTATGTTACCCTAATCGTCAGCTGGCTTTATCCGAATTTGATACAACCACTGCGGACATCTTGCGGAAAACATGAGTAGCCTTACATACATACATATAATACTAACCTACATAACAACATTTAGCTTATACTCGTAATAATTTCAACTTTAGAATATATGTATGTTGATTTATGTGGGCTCATATTTATCTATTTAGCAACACACATATACATAAATGTGTATCTATCTGTCTTAGGTCATAATCTATCAATGCGGCCACTCAGTCTTGACAGCTGGTTATATAACTAAACGCCAATGGCTTGTGCAAACAGTTTAGTTGAAAATTACCAAAGCGTCCAAACTATTTTACTATTACTGCAGGAGCAATTATATTGAAATATATCATTGGGTTCAGTATTGCTGGTGGTTTTGTAATGCATTTGGTAGACTGATTATTGCAATTAGATGCCAAGGTAGCTTGTAATCGTACAGTTGCTGAAAGGAGGGGGTCTTAATTAGTTGTGTATATAAAATGAGAAAAGAAAGTTAATATGAGAAATAATTTTATTCAATTTATTACTATTTTTTTCCTTATAATATGGGGTTGCTCCAGAAAAGACGGCAATTCTTTAAAGGAAAGTAAATAATTTTTTTAATTATATAATGAACTTTTTTCAATTATTTAGTTTCCATTTTGTTGGATGACCTTTTACCATCTTTCCGGCAACATCATTATTCCACGCTTCTAGAGCTTCTGACCTTTATTGAAAAAACTAGACCGAATGCGTTTTTATAGCCTCGTCATATCCGAAAGTTTTACCATTCAATGAGTTCTGCAAAGATCGAAACAAATGGAAGTTTGACGGTGCAAGGTCAGTGCTATATGGTGGATGCATCTACAGTTCCCAGCCAAGCTCGCTCAGTTTCTGGCGAGTGACCAAAGATGTGTGTCCTGATGGAATATGATATCTTTACGATTGACCAATTCTCGCCGCTTATCGTTGATGGATGTATTCAGTTTATCCAGTTGTTTACAGTAGACATCGAAATTAATCGTTTGGTTCCTTGGAAGTAGCTCAAAATATATCACACCCTTCTAATCCCACCAAATTGCCAGCATAATCTTCTTTTGATGAATATCAGCATTTGAAGTGGTTTGTGACGCGTTGGCTTGCTTGGACCATGATTGTTTTCGATTGACGTTCTTGTAAACAATCCAACTATAAACTTCAGTTATGAACATATTCACTGCGTGTTAAATGCATATCATAAGCGTTGAAACGGTTGGAAAATGAGTTATGGAACGTCTTTTCCATCGTCTTCGATTGGTGTTTCGGGTTCACCCTCTTCAGGTGTTTTATTTTCACTGCCATTTAGCAGGCTGGAAAAGTGTTCTCTTCGAAAATTCAGTATACTCTGAGCATCCATTACTAGATCATCCCTCTGTGTCTACAAGAATTTGCTCCAATCTTGAAACATCCCGTAACTCAGCCCGTCTTTTCGAACAAATTTCGATCATTTGCGAAGTAGGCAGTCTGTTGCTTTTGATTGCAGTGCGAAGTTCATAATCTTACTAGCACTTCTAGCGTTGTCGAAGTATGTGTATATGTGTGAATATTTCCAAAATATTTATAAGTCAAAAAATGTATTCGCCATATTTACTATTTAATTGCACACACACACAACTGTTATTGTAATTAGTTCTCAATTAAGTTTAAATTACAGCTATGATCTTATACATATATAAATACATATGTGTGTGTAAAAGTGTTATGTGTAAAACACATGTGCACATAGATAACCAATTGATTCCGTAGCGGCTGTACGTAGAGAGCTGCTGATGAATGCTCTCAGAAAGCAGGTGCATAAGCCGAGTAGAAAATCGCTCAGCAGTCTGGTGCGACTGCAGTTTTTCAACGTCGAACGTTCTGTATTTTTGTTGACCGGCGTTCTTTTGATTCACAGAGGTTTGATTCTAAAACACTGGACACATGCCTTCTGTCTATCACAACATGATCGATTTTTTTTGTGGGTTTTTTCGAACTGGTGAATTTTCTTATGCTGAAATCTAGCCAAATCTAGACAGCCAAATTTCGAAGTCGATAAACCTCAACCGATTTGGGGATGTTTCTTGATGGAGGCTGAATATTTCGACAGTTGTGCCGAAAAAACCTTCTTTGCCCACCCTGGCGTTAAAGTGGCCATGCACAATTTTTCACATCGTGGCGGGGACAGCGCTCATAAGTATGCTTTAGGTGCTCATCTTGGTCATTTCCTACTTTTTTATTTTATTTTTTCTTATTTCATTTCATTTTAATTTTATTTATTTTTTTTGTAATTTAATTTCATTTTTTATTTTATTTTATGATATACATTTGTTTTTAATATATTTTAATTTTTTTTATTTTATTTATTTCTTTTTTTTATTTTATATATTTTATTTTATTTTATTTTATTTGATTTTATTTATTTTTTCTAGCTTTTTCACTTAACTTGATTTTACTCTGTTTTATTCTATTTTATTTCCTTTAATTTATTTTATTTTTCATTTTATTTTTTTTACATATATTTAAATTAATTTTATTTTAATTAATTTTTTTTTTAATTTGTTTATTTTATTCTGTTTTATTTAATTTTCCTCTATTTTGTTCTATTTAGTTTTTTTCGTTTTATTTATTTAAGTACCTTTTTTCTTTTTATTTTTATTTAAATTAATTTTATTCATTTAATTTAAAATTATTATATTTTATTTTATATTAGAGTATTATATTTGTTTACTTAATTTTATATTATTTTATTTTATTTAACTTGATTTTACATTGTTTATTTGATTTAATTTAATTTTTTATTATTTTATTTTATTAGTTTTTTTTTTATTTTTTTAGTTTACTTAATTTTATTTCATTTTACACTATTTTTTTTTTATTTAGTGTTTTAATTATTTTTATTTAAATTATAATAATTTATTTTGATTTTATTCTGTCTTATTGTATTTTATGTCATTTTATTTAATTTCAAACTTTTCCAAGCATAATAACCCAATTTAAGTCCTCACCGATGAAAGTACAAATATTAATCTGAAATTCAAGAATGCAATATCTACAATGTGCAAAATATATCAAAAAACAAAATAACAATATATGGATGTGCGTCGTAAACTTCCCAACATATGTGCAATTTCAAATTCCATTTTTTTATAATTTATTTATTTTTTTAACTTATAATTTATTTTTTCGCAACCCATAATTCACATTCAATAACTCATTGGTTTTAGCCACAACTGTAATTTAGAGGAAATTGCATTATATGACAGCACAGCCGTCAGCTGACACTAATAGTTACAAAAATAAATTACCAAATTTAAAAAGA